AAGAGCGTCTAGACTGGCACAAGTTATAAACTTTCACAGAGTTGTCCATGTCTTGAACCTGTCTTCTGAGAGACAGTCAGTCAGTCATGAAGAAGATTTCAAGAACTAGAGAAATCACTGTTTCCCAGGAAAGCTTCTTCCAGGGACTGAACAAGTCTCATTGTTTTAGAAAGAAAACAGAAAACCCCAAACCACTTTCATTTTTTCCTATTCTGAACCTGTCTGTTTAACTTTCAAATGCTGCTTTTTCTTGTGCCTTTCCCTGGTAGGGTAAGGAGCCATTTAGATAAGCTAGGCTAGGCTAAGCAGGCTGAGCTGTTTAAATCTCATGCTGGTGCTCTCCCTTCCTATGTCTACTTTTTTAACATAGTGTCGAGAAACTGAACACTAAAGCCATAGTCCTATGACTGATCTCTGTGGTGCTGTACGCCAAGGTAAAGCTATCACCCGGCTCCCATTTGTCTGTGATCGTGGAACATTCTCGTGCTCTTCAAAAGTTACTGCAGATCAGCATACGGTCTCCAGTTGTGCTGCATGAACATTTTTGGTTTTATACATACTGAATGCATTTTGTAACAACCTATCTGTGTAAATTAAGAAAATACATCCATTGCTTTGTAAGGATTGCCTGCCTATCCTTCTCCTTTTCTCACTTACTACATCTCTAGGGTAGTGCATGCTACATACTGTTACACCTATGATATTCCAGGCAAAAACTATGTTTTATGTGTATCTGCAAAGCAACTAGGGTACTTTGGACAGCAAATATTACTGATATTAATTAAAAAAAAAAATTTAGTAAAATCATGAAAAACCAACATAAAAATACTGATTACAGAAAGACTGTCACAGAAATGAAATTGGTCCAGTAAAGAATGACTCTGATACTCCTGTGGGGAAAAGTAAGCGCTTGTTTCACGTGCCTATAAACCACTGAGCAGAGTATACGTAAGAAGACTAAGAAAAGCTGACGATACGATTAGGGTATGTTCGCCTTGCCCCTAGCTGATTGAGACAAATATAATCTCTGGGCTTTATGATCAGCATTTGTAGTTGTTTAATTTCGTGCTAGTTGTGACCTTTGTGGTAAACAATAAATAATTCCTCAAGGAGAGGGCATTAAAAAGGTACTGTGTGTGGTATTTCCTTTCTCCAGCTGCAACTGCCCAACAGCTTATAGGGAGATTAACAGTAATGCTTTTGTACCTCACTTTGGAGAATCATGACAGCATGATTGAAATGGTGATGCTCCAAGGTAGCTGAGGTGCCATAGAGCTGAGCTAAGGCTGATCCGCTCCTGAAACAGAACATAGGGAGTCAACAAATACTGCTCATCTGCTTACAAAGCAGGTTTCAGAGACGATTTAGTAATGAAATCACGTAGCCACACTCTCCCTCTCCACATCAGCAACCACACTTAGGGCAGTTGACAAGATCAAAATACTAATTTAAATACTAATTTAAAGATGAAAATACTAATACAAGACATTTATGTTCCAGACCTTGCTAAAAATCATCAGCTGATTAAAGATTTTCCTGGAACTACATGAAATTTTGTAATGCAACTTTCAAAGTGCCTCAGTGACGCAATAGCACAGGCACACCACTGTGCAGTAAAGACAAACAGTAACATCCTTGAGCTAGGACCGGCTTTCTGTTAATACTTTTTATTTTATTACTACTACTACTACCACCACCACTAGTAGTACTGTTACTACTATTAAGAATTATATTAATTCTTAATAGAGATAACCACAATGGCTTACAACAGGTGATTACAAACTCTTAAAAACCCCAAACAAACCCAACAACAAAAAAACAACTGCAAACGCAGTGAGGTTCTGTCTGTGTGTAAAATCATGCACTTAAAAAATACTTAGGTAACCAAAAAAGCGTAAGTGAGCAGTGAATATAAAAATAAAGTTTAGCATCTCTTTAAAATGTGTTTTCTCATTATGTTTATTGTCTAAAACAAAGTTAGCTTCAAAATGCACAGAGCAGGTGGCTCTTCTAACTTTAATTAACAAAAATCTACAGAATACAATTATGAAATTGCGAATCATTGGGAGGTGCAGAGGACAGGACTGGATTGTCAGAATAGTTACTGTTCACCATTACTTCATTTCTGAGACCCAGCCTAAAGCAACAAGATGGGTTTTCTTTCCAAAGAAATGAGAATAAGAGATTAGGCTAGAGACAAACAGAAATAGTCTCCAAGGAGCATATACTATAAAACTGCACCATACTGATATTTAATTATCGGAGCCAGCTATATTAGAGAGAAGGATGTCCAGGAAATATCATCCTTAGAGAATGTGGAGTTGAGATATATAACAGAGCTATTTCAGACAACTGTGATATTGCCTCCATCGTATACCTCTTGAACTTTCATCACACGGAACAGCAGTATTGAACACTGAAGATAAAATAAGAAAATGTGATGCTTAAATTTACAAGTCAGGTTAGAAGAATAAATCATAGCTGCTGTTATGAAAACTACAGCTTCTGTTTTCAGGGAAGTTTTATACATGTGTGGTAATGTTCATCTTTTGTTAAATGTCTTCAGCAATTTCTTTATGGAACCATAAAACAGCAGCCTCCTCTTTGTACTTCATTGTCTAACAAGTGTAAGTGACAGCAGTCTAATGTTGAAACCTCTACCTTTAACTCAGCCATCCCTCTGCACAAGAGATATCTCTTGTATAGTGTTACAGCAGAGAAGTGGTTAACTTAATCAGAGACTAAAACAGTCAGGATGTAAATCTTAGGTCTCATTTTTGTAAATTAGGAAAATTTTTACAAATTTACTGACATAAACATCAGTCAGCTGTTTGTCTCGTCTTTTTTGATCCTCTTCAAGATTCAGCTGCAAAAAGGCATCTAGCAGTGCTTGGTAACCTTTGCACCAGGAGCTCTGTCTTCTGAGCACTGCAATTGATTTTCCTTGCTATGGTGATTGAAGATCCAGACAGTGTCATTGTTTCATTGAGACTGTACAGCAACACCAATAGCTCAGGAAATGGCAGCTTAGTGAGTATCAGAAACATCAGTTTGAGTGATGTTCACTGAGGCAACTTCGCCCCCAGAAATGCAGCAGCCCGTGCATATACACATTACATCAAAGTAGTTCTGCAAAAGGTAGGACAAAATAGGCTAATACAACGTCACCCTGTCTTTCAAATATCTTTGGACAAGCATCTGACCACATGCCCATCACACTGGAGGATTAGCAGTAAAGCAGAACAAAGCTGCAAATGCATGCTAGGATCCGCAGCACAAGAGAGACTCAAGGTTTCATATTCTGACTAGAGGATCTGGGGAGTCAAGAAAACAACACGGGATTTGGAGGGGTTTGTGTCTGACAGCTTAATTTCACAGCTTGGCCAGGATGTTCTCAGGGGACATTTCCTGTTGTCCCCCCTTGTTCTCAGGAAACACAGATTTTGGAAATAATTTGACCTTAGTCAAGGGAGTTCCCTTACCACCACAATAAGAGGTAATACCCTCAAACCTTCCACAAACCTGCTTCTACCTCACAGTGTCTGAGGGCAGCAGCCTGGACAGTAAAAATGACAGCAAGACAGGGCTGCTGAATCAGGTCCTAAACACTTTGAATAGAATAAAATTCATTTTCAGAATTGAAAACGGTCTGGAGAGACAGCTTTCTCATAGGTGATGTAAGAACCTGCCTTTGAGATCCAGTTTCGTGTTCTGGTGGGTACTGACTGTTGCAGGGACGGCCAGCTCACCCCTGCCCACTGCAGCATGTCTCCAAACAGGCTCTGTGTGCTCTGGCATGTGGGACAGGCCAGGGAGGAGGCATTTCTACAGATCAGGGACTCTGTGTGACGCGTCTGTAGAATCACCCACAAATGATAGGTATGTGGTGACGCAACTATTCCAGCCGCCCGCTCTGGACAAGGTGCATCTGAGCTCCAGCTGATGGCAACAGTTTCATACTCCATAAGCTAGGAATTATTTTATGTAGACTTGTCTATATGTTTGTGAAAGTTTTTGTGAAAGCATGATTTCAGTTTTACCTCTTTTCTTCTTAATAGTTGAACAAGGTTTTGCTTAACGTCATGCATTCCAACCAGCAAGAACAACCCAGACAGACAGTGTTCTCTGCATTGAATATGAGAATCAATGATACCTTAGCCTGAAAAGAACATCAAGTATTGGCACCACATTTCAATATGCAGTGTCAGTTCACAAGGAGTAACCCAACCAACAGGCTGATACAAAGGACAAGCCAGCAATTACCCAAAAGAACAGCGAATGATAAAGATGGATAGTCCCTCACTACATAGAAGAATAAGAATACTTGGCCTTGGCCTAGGAAGCCTGAAATTAATGCTTCATTCTTTATCCTGGTCACCTTTTGCTCTTCTGTAGGAGAAAAACAAATTAAAGTACTAAGAATTAGAAAACTTACTTGGCTTGGAAGGCATTGTTTGTTCCCCTGTGGTCAAGGTCATGACATAAGCATCCCACAATCAAAGCTAAAATTTCAATTTCCGTCAGAATCTCCTGAAATCCTGCAGTCTGAAAGCAGAAAAAAAAATAGCAGCTGTAACTATCAGTAGCAAAAGGGATAAGTAATGTTAGTCCATTGAGCAACAGTCAACTTTGTTTTGATACCATGAACATTTCAGTAAGGAGAAGATAAATGCTTTATTGTCATACTATATTCCCTGCTGTATGTTAGATGGTTAGCAGAATAGATAACGTCCTTGGAGTGATCTGTTATTATCTCTCTGTTGCATTTCCAGCATGCCATTTCTCTGCTACCCAGAAGGCACTAAAGGCAAGAAGACCTGAAAATAAACAGCAATACTACACACTAAGACAGGAACTGGAATTTCACATCAGATAAATACAAAACAAAATTCAGTCCATTTTGAAATTATTGTTCAGAGAAGTATGTACAGAGATTTCTTCAATCCTGAGGTGACCATCTTAGGGAATCCCTACTGTCAGAGATAGCCAAGATGTTAAATCAAAAGACCTATAAAAGAAGCCAGCTAAAATATACTCTATGGAACTGTTACGAACAATTAAGAAATTTGTTATCTGGGACACATGAAATGAAGCAGCATGATTTAAAGAGGAAATATCTCAAATAGCATGTTTCTGCTGCAGATACCTACTTTAATGTGGGAGAGAATTTTGAAAACTGATGTATTGAAATTCCCCATGAGCAGCTCAGACCAGATACACCCCTGTCAATGGGGGAGCTGATCCTAGAAACATTTTCTTTGGCACTATATTTCTCCTCATGGATACTTGCCATAGCAGTTTTCCTGCCTGAACTGCATCATATCAGAAAAGAAACACTACTGTTATTGCTAACCTCAAGCATCCTGAACAGATCCCATCTAGAAGAGGTGCTGGACCCTGCATGGGACACCACTTGTCTGGTGCTGTGCATCTTACCCACGACAGAAGCCACCTGCTGCTTCTACTCTTCAGAAGCATAAGGGCATATTGCCTGCAAAAATGACTGGCTGAGCTAGAAAATCATAACACTTGTTTTTCCACAGTGCCACTCTCCAATGACACTTCTCAATTAGCCGCATCTAGTTAGTATGAAAGGAAATTATATAAAAGGAATATAAAATACATTTATATTGGAAAACTAAGGCTTAACGCTAACAGTATGTAAGAAATCCTAAATTCCATTGGTTTTCGATGGGGCATAATTCCACCCACTGGCAAGAAGAGGGTTAAGTGATACAAAGACAGTGAATATCAGTGGGACTTGATGTCCTTACAGCCCACTCAGAAATGCCAGTTAATTGCTGCAATATGACATGAAAACTCCGCTATTCACCCTGAAGACCACAAATTCTACTTAAATAAACACCCATTCAAATCCAGATAGCTTCTGTTTTCATAGTCTGAAATGTGGCAGCAGTTAATATTTAGGCAGTACAAGGAGCCAAGCTCCCCCAAGTGCTCAGGAATGTATTTGAGTGGGAATTGTGGAAGTGCAGGATGTGCTACAAAAACTTCATGATTGTGCTCAAAGTTTACATATCAAAAAAGATGATCAAATACAAGGAAAAAGATTCCTTTTCTGTAGAATCCACTGGTGTACAGAGTAACTTGAATATCATGAACAATATTCTCTTGGTTTCTAGTGGCATTGCTATTTTAGTTTCAATAACAGCTACCTAGGCAGAGGAAATTCTCTAAAAAATAGTGTTTTCTCTTTTTATTTTTGAAACATTGCTCTTATATAACAAATAATAATCAAGGTCTGTTTTTTACAAAAGGATTAAAAATATGTTTGTAACTGACAACATGCCATGTGTCAAGTTTCAATCTAGAGAAAACATTCATGGCTAAGTTAAAACAGCTTAAAATAGAAGTTTTATAATATAAAATTGATGCTGTAATAAATATTCTTTAGCATCACACAAGCTTTGATTAAACTCAAGGATTCAACCTGTATTGCAAATGCAGGAAAGCTGATTAAGGAATTTATTAAGAGTAGCAACATCTCAAAAATAAATGCAACATTTTATTTAATCAAAAGTATTGTCATCGAATACATGAAAGAATCATTGCATATTTCACTTAATGAAAACCATTTAATTTGAAACAATGTTATGGTAAGGGGATAGCTGCTTTAAAAATAATGAAAGAAAATAGCGGATGCATTTCCCCATCTTCTGAATTTACACAGAGAGAAAAAATACATGTCTATAGATGATGGTGCAGTAAAATTTATTTTCAACAGAAAAGGAATGACCCATAACTCACGAGTGGCAGACTCTCCAGTGAGTTATGGAGGTCATTCTTTCATGTGAGGAAATGAATTGCATTCATTATACTTTGTCCCGCATTTATATGTCTTATTATTAGCATACCAGATGGGATTTTAATTTTGTATTGCTTATGTGTTCATTTTTACTTTTTGAAATAAGTATCCAGATGAACTGTGTTAGGCAAAGGCATTGATAATGAAGCCTGGGCTTGATTCTGCAGCTTACTCCCATGAGATGTCCATAACTTGCAGGAGCAGTCTTGCTTCACTGCTCGTCTTCAGAAAATTTGGGTGAGTCTGAAATACAGAAGCATGGCTCGCAGGACTGGGCTTATTATTGTTCAGTGTCTAACTGGAGAGAGAAAATACAGACTTAGATACACAGGAACATACCTTAGAGATGCAGAAGGCTGACTCAGGAGTGACCAAACTGGTTTAAGCTTTGTTGGATGTCTGTTGTTTGGATAGTTCAACCCAGCATTACAGGTTACATGTTACTACAGAGCCCCTCTCTGATGGTCAAAGAATTTGCACCTTTTTGTGAGTGAAAAAACAAGTCACGTACTAACTTGGATGGTTCCACCAAGACAAACGCAGTAAGAGCAAGCCCTGGGCCATTACTAGTCTCTTGACTCTCTTTTTTGTCTTTTTTTCACAAAATCAGTCTTCCTATCTCTGGAAGGAAGAGCAGCCCACACAGACTGTACACCTGAACTTATTCTGTTCTTGGACAGAGCCACAGTGAAGTGAGGTGGGCTGCGTGGCGAGTCCAATGCCATGGGCACAGGTGTCCAGCCCTGCACCTGGAATTGCTCATTCAGTTTATTAACAGGAGTGTGGGCAATGAAATGAGCTTGGCTTGAAAATCCCAGATCACCTCCCACAGACAGTTGTGTCCCTGTGCTGACTGCTAAAAGGATCCTGAAATTACGCTTTGAGAACCACGACCAAAGCAGTTTATGGTTGAGGCCTCGCAGGCTTGCTGGTGGCTGTTGAAGCAGGAGGGATCCGCTTTCTCCCCGCCGGCTGCCGATGGAGTCACCGCTAGCCGAGATGAGATGGAGACGCCTGTGGGCGAGCGCGCTTCCCACCGCAGAACAGCCTGGGAAACCCTGGCCTCGGAGCTCCACCTAGAGGTCCTCACGGGTGAGGTTTGAGGGCTCCTCACCCCCTTGGCAGCATTTGGCAGAAATTAATGTAATGCCCAGCTGAACGGCGCTGTTTGACTTTGCCCTTACTCCTCAGAGTAAAAACCCTTTAAGTTATAGAAAAAATTTTAAAAAGCACATCAACTTTATAAAGCTTTAAAAACGACCAATGCCCACACGTTACCACGAGACTTCATTAGAGAGCGTCAGAAAGCGCCTGCTGAAGCAACATTAATTCTGCTCAGCTGAACAGCCTCACACCCAGAAGAGGAGGTGACCTTTCTCTCTGGCTGAACATCTCCGTTTGCTTTGTCTCACAGTGTACGGTACAGCTTTGCTATGCCTTCATGAACGCTCTCAGCAAGAAACCCACACAGCTGGGACAGACCTAGCACCAGACCAACATCTACCTGCTAGGGACGTCATACTCTGTTTTTTCTCGCCCGACACACGCAGTGTTGTGTGCATGTGCTTCTCTTTTGCCATATTAACCAGAATATTAAACGTCCAAGACCACCAAGCTTCTTATTGATAATTTACAAGAATTAACTAGCCAAACATGGATTATTTCATGCAGTAAGGTTACTATATGGTAGGGAGAGAAAGATCAGTGGTACTTTAAACAGAATTGACTTGTATGCTGAAAGGAGTTACAGGTACTGATGGAGACAAATTGTTGTGTTAATAAAACCCAGAAGTGTTACACAGAGTCCAATAGAGACACAAGATTCACCTTAGATCACTATGTTGGAAGATAATCTTAACATGTTTTAAGGCAATACCTTCCACAATTATTTAGATGAAGCTGGATAAGAAGGTAATAAATATCAACATAATAAATACTTCTTCTGGGATTCTAATCTTCCTTGGTTTTGTACCCCCCCATTTGAGTCTGAAATAAATATCAGAGTGTTCCAAAAGAAAAACATTTTTATAAGATCAAGATCTATAATAACAAGCTCACTCCAAGACTGCCATCTGTTTTCAGTCACTTTAATGTGCCTGTGGTATCACTGTCACTGAAACACTATAAGGTTTTGCCACATATGTGCCACCTTAAGTTGAATAACCTGATTCTGTGTGCATTTCTACTGGAAAGGAATGAGCATCATAATAAGTAGAAAAGAAATCAAACATTGGAAAATGTTTAGATAGGTAAGGCAACGTGGCAATAAAAGCTCTTACGGGATTGTTTCTGTAGCTAGATACTTACAGTTAACATGGCAAACATTAGCTGGCAGACGTTGAAAGCATGCCTCCAGTTGTGATACAAAACCATGCGATAATTCTTCCTAACGGTCAAAAGCCACCTACACAGCGTCTGAAATGAAAAGTACAATTTGATCACGGCTACTAAACGTGTATAAATGGACAGAGCAGTGCCAAGACAAAAGCCGCAGATATCTCTGCAGCGCAGATGGTTACCTCGTAGTCAATTTTAAATTTCTGAACCATTCCAAGTTCCATGAACATCCGCAGGGCTGCAGTAATCATGGCATCCACATCAAGCGAGAAGTCATCAAAATGGATATCATCGATGCCAAGCTCAGACACCAGAGGGATGTTTGCTGCCTGAAAACGCCAAAGGGAAAGA